ATTAACTTACCCTCTAAAATGCACCATTTTCGAGATACAGGGTGTTGAAATTGAAAAAAAAAATTCTACGCCACTGGAAAAAGTATGGTTTTGAGACGCCCATTTGAACCGATAATGTTTTATACACAAAAAGGTACTCTTGGTCATACGCTCTAAAGTCGACCGTTTTCGAGAAAAATCAAATTTTGTTTCATCAAGTATGTATGACCATGTATTTCAACATTAAAATTTGATTTTTCTCGAAATTGGTCGACTTTAGAGCGTATGGCCAAGAGTATCTTTTATGTGTAGAAAACATTGGCGGTTCTAATGGGCGTCTCAAAACTGTACTTTTTCCAGTGGCGTAGAAATTTTTTTTTTTCAATTTCAACACCCTGTATCTCGAAAATGGTGCATTTTAGAGGGTAAGTTAATAGAAACGTTTTTTCATATTTTTGGACGAGCTATCACGTCCTGAAGTTCTGTGCATATATTATAAAACACTCTGTATATTTGTAAAAAAAAAACTACACTAAATATGTCTCGGTTATAAATTTTTATATTTTTAAAACTACATACTTTCCTATATTATACTGGGCTAATAATATGATGTAGCTTATTGATTGGTTTTGCAAAAAAACGAAAAAGGAACAATTTGTTTCAATAGAGAAGAGAGTTTTAGCAAATGTACGTAAGATTTCCGCTAACGTTACGTTAAACTTAGATTGTGACCTTTTTCATAAAGATTGAACGGAGTAGATTACAGTCTATCCCTAAGGTAACGTTAGCGGATGGTTAGCGGCTGTTTGCTAAAACTCCCTATTGTTTTAGCAAATACCCGTTAACCATCCGTTAACGTTACCGTAGCGATATACTGTAATCTACCCCTTTAAATGCTAATGAAACGTGTCACAATCTAAGTTTATTGTAACGTTAGCGGATATCTTACGTACATTTGTTAAAACTTTTATTATAATAAACTAAGACTCTCAATTCTTAAAATTTTGGTGGAGGTAAAATTGTGATTGTGTAATCATTTCATCTTTCGTTTTCAAAAATTGGTGGAGGATTCTATGTATAATGACAAATGAAATATTAAATCTTTTATGTCAATAGTTTTTGATCGATCACAAATAGATAAACAAATATTAGCTCTATAGGATATTTAATTAATAATAATTGTCAATATTGTAACTGGAGAATCTTTGGTCCAAAACAAGGGCGATTAAAAAACTCGACAGAAGGAGAACCTTTGTTGCCTGTCCCCTTTTCAAAATAATCACTGGTAGAACTAATTTCACTATAAAGTTAGCACCACCAATCACGAAAATGAGTTTAAATTGCATACCTACTGAAAATTTGTTATGGAAAGAAAAAAATTTGTCAGTAATCTCCTTTTCAAAATAAACCCTAATACGTTCACGCTAATTTGTATAATCTTATATTATTGTTATTGCTTTTGCCTTTGCTTTTTAAAAAGTGGTAAAACATTTGTGCTAATAAATATTTTATAATTATCAGATCATAATACTATTTATTTCTCCAAATTTTTCCAAATATTCATTATCTAAAATCTTTGATTAAAAATACAAAAAATTAGTGGTTAGTCATATTTTTTGTAAAAACTATTTTCCAAAAAGTAATCGAATGTAATTAGATAAAAATCTTGTATGTAACACATTACATAAATAGTTATTAATCTCGTTTTAAGACTGATTTATTGATTTTAAATTCTATAAATTTACATAAAAACGACAATCTTCTTAGCAACAGAGATGTCCTGAAAAGTTTTTAGTTTATTTAAAGATTATAGTGGAATGTCATAAATATGTTTATCATTGTAATACATATAAAAAATACAAATATCAATAACATTTCAACATATAAGTTACGTCAGCAGTTCTGATTGTTTTGATTTCTCGGAATTATATTATTGTGCTAATTTATTGATGGAAATTTTAATTATTTAATCCAATTAAATTGTTTATATCTGATATTTATACAGGGTGCTGTTCTAAGGTTATCTAAATTTGCTATTTTTTAAAGACTTTCACCACAAATTTTATTACATAGTTAAATATGCAGTGTGGTGTATATTATAAGCGCTTATCTTTATATTACCAATTTGATCAAAATTAAGAGATTAAGACTTTTGGTTAAAGATAAACATTGATTCCTGATCAAAAGGATTACTGGCAAGCGTCAAGGAGAAGCTCTTCAACTGCTGAAAAATTATTACTGTCTACAATAAAACAACATACTTACAGTAAATAGTAAATATTATACAGATCACTATGTATACTGTTACTTTTGCAAAGACTGTTGCGGTTCAAACAGTACTAGTAGTATTATGCATTTAGGATCATTTTTAATTGTATTAATTATCTTTTATTTGATTTTAAGGATTTTATGCCTCTACATCTTTTTATTAGAAAAAGTTTTAATTAACGTACTTTTTAATAAAAAATAAAGCTAGGACTGAAATATATTTCCAAAAACATTTATTCGATCTTTTATATTTCATAGTAAAAAATTAAAATGTTTTAGCGCCTCCCTTCAAGGGGATATATATATATATATATAGTTAATGAACGATTTTTACATAATTAACCCTTGTTAGATAATTTGGATCACATAATCTCCAGTTCAGTTTATTTATTCTTTATTACTGGACACCTTGTATTATGTATTATTAGCAACAATTTTATGAATTTAGCTAGTCAGCAGTTAATCATGTTAAAATGTAATTAAATATTTATTTTAGGTTTTGGACTTTGCAAAACAAGTGTGAAAAAAATACCCATGATCGTTTATTAAAAAGGCATGATTGAATAATAAATGAACAACCATTAAAAAAAAATAGCAGTTCTGTTTTAACTTTTTTTAACTATTTTAAATGATTTTTCAGAATTTATAAAATCGTATTTAACGAATAAAAAACAATTTCTTTAATAAAAACCGCAAAATATATCTCAAAAATATTGTTCCCATGAATAGAAATTGGACCATTACTATTTTAGTTATCAATGTATGAGAAACAACAAATTAAAAAGTCTATTAACAATATAGGCCCTCATCTGACTGCACAAAATGGTACGTCATCTTTTTTGCATTTGTAGTTTGGTACATGGGAGGGGGATGAACATCGTGTACCATGTTCTGGTGGTGGGGATGGTCATGTGAAATTCAAAGTAAAGTCGCTTAGCGATGAATTTCTGCCTTTCTTGCTGGTAATGAAATATACATAATATGCTTCTAGACGTCAATAACAATAAAAAATCCCTCTGCAAGCATTTTCTGTAATCCGGTTTTGCTACTTCCGGTTTAGGGATTTCGGCGACGGATATTTACCTTTTTTAACGAAATTCGGGCTACAGCTTAAACGCGTTTTTATAATTCTAAGATAATATTGCAAGCTTTTTTTGTGTCGGCGACAGGGTTGATTTAAAAAAAAAAATTGGAACCTGGCGAAAAGTGACCTGTTTTTTGAAATAGGTATAAAATCGAAACCAAAAATCGTAAATTGGTTTAAGAACAAACCGAGCAACTTGAAAATTTATAATTCCTTCTGAGCCTTTATTTTTAGTCAGATTTTTGTAAAATTTTCAGGAAATACCAATAATAACAAAACTGAGGCTGGAGAAACCTTGAATTTTTTATAAACCTGAAAATTTTTAAAAGTACTTTCAGAAAAATTATTACGCTCCATTCTGTATTAAATAAAAGAAAATTTGTTGCTTTTTGTTTTAATAAATATGAAGTAATTTTTAAATGGGAGGATTTTCCACCTGTTTTCCTTAAACTCGATGTAGTGTGCTGCCTTATCGCTGCACAAATTTAAAGCTCTCTATATTCTCGAAAAGCATAATATCGTATTCCCAGTGGCGCACTTATAAATACAATCCATAAAACATCTTAGCTTTCGCGAGAGGTCCGGTTTATTCTTAATTGCTCTCAAAATGTTTGTATGATTTTCAAATAAGAGTATTGTCCTTACAAGCATTTTTTATTCAATAGTTCTACCCCATTAAATTTATTTTATGTTTCGTTTCCGTTAATCAAGTAAATTGCGGCGATTATTTTGACATATTTTTCTCGAAAACCCGGGTTGATAAATGGCTGAATGAGGTAGAATTTATTATTATTATTGACATCTATCTAGAATCATATCCTTAATAATGTGCTTATATTTAAGGGTGTGAATCTACATGAAACATGAATGATAGTTTGCTGTATATAAAAATGTTTCGTTACGAAAATACAGGGTGCCAAAGTTAAAAAAAAGAAAAATTAATATTTTCGTAACCGCTTGAGATATTTCAGTTATATTTATTATCTAGTGACATTTAATGTGCATATTTTTCAATACAAAAATACTTTTCAGCTTAAACAGTGGCGTCTGAGCAGGCACTAGCTTCAATATTAAAAAAAAAAATAATGGTACACCAATGGTTTTTTCCCAAATAATTTTTTTTAATTCCCCGTTTAATTATTTTAAATTTAAAGGATCTGTTTTCGTACGTTGCTCTGTTTTTAGTAAGAAATTAAAAACTGTTGTTCGTGACAATTAATGTAATAATTATTGAAGAATGAAAGGAAACAAAATAACATTTGGACCATGGTTTGTAAAGCAAATTATTACTAATTTTTTATATAGATTTACACCCCTAAATATTTGCATATTACTAAGGAGCACCCTGTATTTCATTGCGAGCCAAAAAGGAAAAATTCACCGATAAGCAACTTTACTTTGAATTTCATAGGTCACATGGCCGATCCCACCACCGGGATATAGTATATGTTGTTCATCTTCAAGCACATTCAAATAAACAAATTACGGCTATGCCACGGGACTTGAATAAACATTTTTATATTTGAAAATTTATTAAAAACATATTAACATAAACATATAGTTTAAACATTTCCCAAATAACAACTGATATGTATATTTAACAGATTAATAAATACACAAATAGGTTACGAATAAATAATCAAAAATAAATAAAAATATTAATTCTTACCCTGTCTCAGATGAGCCTTAGCCTCATAATTGCAAACCACTAGTTTTTCATTGGCCGAAACAGCCGCTACAGTCAGTATGAACAGCGAAAAAACAAGAGTACGCATCTCTGTAAAGGATTAGTAGCTACTGAAAGCGCCGGATTTCTTCAAATTTGCCGTAGTGCTTAGTTCAATGCGTCCACCAATAGAAAATAAGCAGCGAATTAAAGGTGATTTCAAAATTATTATTATTTATTATACATTTAGTTGTCCGTGACATTGAGAGGATAAAGTCAATTTAAGTCGGACTTAATGAATGAATCCTCGTTTTTATTAAATACATTTCTAGGCTAAGAAATAAAGTAGCTGTAAAAAATTAGAAGCTACAAATTGGTATGTTGGTCAAATTCGATGTCCTGATGATCTCCTTTCATTTGCTCCTGGAATATCTGGCTTGTATTTTTTTCTTTGTGGTAGTTTTTGGAAAAAACTCGAGTTTTCGAGAACGTTGAGGAAATGACTAGTCTAGAATGATAAAAATCAAAGGCCACGCTTCCATGTTTTGCTCTGATTTCATTTTAAGAGTGCTATAAGTTGACCGAAAAATCGTATTTATTTTTATAAAAACAAAACAAATTATACTTGAATAAACACTTTACCATTGTTTTTTGTTCATGGAGATAGCTTGACAATTAAGGGATGGCGAGCGGTCAAATCCGACTGATATTTGTAAATTTTGTAACCCCTATTTTTAACAGACTTCAAAAAGGAAGGAAGTTCTCAATTTGTCGGAATATTTTTTTATGTGTGTATGTTCACCGATAATTCTTTACTACGTTGTCTGATTTCTATGTTTCTTTTTTTTTTAGAAAGTGGATTAGTTAAAAATGCTTGCCAGAAATCAATCATATATTTAGTCAATCACCAAAGTGACCAAAGGGTGTATTTTTAACGCGAATACTGTATGACTGAGACGTCGTTAATGGCTCGCGGTCGTAGATCAAGAAATTTTGTATACTATAATAAATATTCAGATGAACATATCCGAATTTTAATCGAATCGTATGTTATCTCGCTTTGCTAATAATAAAACTGGATTCCAACAGTGTTTTTTTGCAATAAATCTTAAACAAAAGGTCAGATAGAAGACTTTTCAGCGCTCAGCAACTTTTAAAATTTTTTTAATCTATGACCATGCACTTTTAATCGCGTCTCAGTCATACAGTATTTGCATTAAAAATACAGTCTTTGGCAAACATAAATAAGACTAAATTACTGATTTATTTTCGGGAAGCATTTTTTTCTAATTGGTTTACAAGGGAAACTATAAGTGTAACAAAATAGGGGCAAGTGCGATAAAATGTACAAACATTACCCAATTTTGAGCGCTCGTCATTCCCTTAATTGTCAAACTATCGACTCGAACAGAAAACTGTTGTAAAGTGTATTTATTTAGGTATAATACGGTTTTTAAAATTTTAATTAAAGTAGTGTAAAACATCAGAGCTTGGCCTTCAACAATAAGATATGTTGCTCTTTAGGACGCCCTAGAAGATAAACTATAACTAATAATATAATAATAATAATGTTTTTTTACTACTAACATGAGAAAGCACCAATATTTACTCCATTCCTCTAATGAGAAGTAAGATTTCTCACCCTAGGTATATAATGATAATAAAAAAAAACCTAGGTAAATAATGAAACTAAATTTCATTAGTTTCATTTTGTTAATTTGACAACTAAACTCCCAGACTACTTGATATTTTGAAATATTTGAAAAATCGGTAGGAAATAACTAAAGCTGGGTTTATCAAATCTAATCAAATCAAATATGATAATATATATCAGTGTAAACAGTAAAAATATATATTAACTAGGAAATTTAACATCGGCTACAAAAATTATTAATTAATACCAATAAATCCATGTCATTAAAATATCAAAAATGCAATGGGATATTTCCTAGAATCATACCAAAATTTGACACATGCCAAATTTTTATATAAATAAAGCCAGTCTGATTAGAAACACGCTCCAGTCGGCTTGATATTTCGAAATATTTAACAAATTGTTAGGAAATTCTTCTTCATCTTCCAACAATAATAACGCAACTAATTTATTTGCGTCCATTTTAGTACCATTCGTTTCTATTCATAATACATAAACAGCATGTGCAGATATAAAATCTCATTTTCTATTTAACAAACCACCTAACATACTAGAACCTGGTGTTAATTAAACAACTAAATATTTAAATGTATTAAATTTTTACGGATTTATTTCATACATAAATAAACTAACGCGTGTCACTCAAACTACCAAAACATGTATTGATCATATATTTCTAAAGAACAACCAAAAAAATTAGTAAGCAAATTGAAACAGATCCCATAGTTTTTCATACTGCTTTTACTGATCATTATACACCCTTTGTTTACTCGACGTACCCGCTACTGAAAATCAAAACACATACAAAAAAATAAACTTCAATAAACTCAAAACAATGGTAAAAAAGGAAAATTGCGATGAAGTAATTATGATGCACAAATTTCATTTGACCAATTTATACAAATTAAATTTTTATTTACAGTAAACAAAAAAAATCATAATCTTAAACCATGAATAACGTTAATTACTTCTATCTATAAAAGAGATCAATTAAAAAAGAGATTATTAAATATTTTCCAAAGAACTGGACAGCCACTATAAAGAATATAGGAATAAATTAAATGCATTAATAAAAAAAACAAAAAATGACTACTATCAAAATAAATTAAGAGACAATCGGACTGTAAAAAAACATGGAAAATAATTAATGAAATAACCGGATGTAAAAAAATTTCAAAACTTTAAAACCACTGTTCTGCAGGACCTGATAAAATAGAAACTGAACTCATTAAATATATTCATACATATTTGGTAACTTCTTTATCACATATCATAAACATTGCTTTGTCTAGTGGATTAATACCTTTCCAGTGGAAACATACCGCAGTTACTCCCATTTTTAAGTCCGGTGATCATAGCAAAATTAATAATTATAGATCAATATTTGTTATAAATAATTTTGCAAAAATATTTGAACAAGCTGTCAAAAACAGGTTAATAAAATTCCTGGATAAAAATAAAGTTCTATCGAAAATACAAATACAAAAATCAATGCCTAGCAGTTTTTCTTGATCTGGCAAAAGCCTTCGATACGGTTCCGCACTCTGACCTTTTAAACAGACTGAGCAACTATGGCATTAGAGGAATAGTACTTGATCTACTTAGAAACTATTTAATAAATAGAACCCAAAAAGTATTGGGTCCAATTCTATTTTTAATTTACATAAATAGCATCTCGAAAATAAACCACTTTAAAGGAAAAATTGTATTATGCCGATGACACTGCCCTTGTTATGTCGGAGAAATCTTGGGATGAAGTTAAATTAAACATACAATTAAACAAACATAGAAGCCTGCTTACAAGAAATAAAAATATATCTAGATTATAGTTTATTAACTCTAAATATTGAGGAAACAAAATATATTACTTTTTCTCCTACTGCAGTTGCTCTCAACCTAAAATAGAAATTAAATTACATAATTCTAAATGCAATGACAGTAGCAATAAAATTTTTAGGTATAATGATTGACCAGCACATAAGATGGAATGAACACTTTACTTACGTTACAAAACGCCTGTTTAGCAAATTTTAAAATATTAGACCTTCAAAAAAAAAAAATTATAAATGATTTATAACTCGTTTTCCAAATCAATTTTAAGATACTATCTAACGATATGGGAAGGTACTTTTAACAGCACATTACAAAATCTACAAACTAAATTAAATACACTAATTAAAATATTATTTAAAAAAGATAGATTATATTCAACTCAACTACTATGTCCAGGATTAATTTTTTTTACTTTAAGACAATTATATACCTATCAGTGTCTACTAAGGGTACTCAGAGATCAGAATAAATTACTCAAAATTGTCAGTATATAATAATATATTAATCTACAACCAGGTTATAAGACCGGTGTGACATTCGATTCAAACAATAATAACTGAATGCAGTGTAAAAAAACAATATTTATAGTAGAGGTATATTTATTAAAAACACAAAACAAACATCACACATACATAAATAATATACTTTTCTTAATAAAACAAACAAAATAAATTTAAGGTTCTCTTCATTTACATCCTCAGATTAGCGGAAGCTCTCAATATTGGGTACTTATTAGCGGTACATAAACCCCTGAAATCGTCTAAAGTCAAATCGACAACGGCAACACCACCGAGACCTCTAGCTCTGACGTAGCTCACAATTTGTTCAGCTGTATCAGGATCTTGGAAAGATACCCATATTCCGTCTTGTTCGTTCTTTGGTTCTTTGTAAGCGTAGGTACCTGAAAAAAAAAAAAACAAAAATATTTTTTATAAGCTACAACTGAAATTGTCATGCCAAAATTTGATCCTTGCGACACCACTGGACGAGCTCTAACAAGGGTCTCCTCTATAAAAATATATATTGAAAATGCAAACTGACAACTAAGTGCCAATAGCTATTAAATGAATTATGATAATATCGCATTAAAGCTTTTCCTATTGATAATGGTTATTGATTAATTTTACTGCCTGGGCCTGGTGATTTGACAACATCAATGATATAGATAGTTATATAGATTAATAATCCATGTTTTTAAAAATAAACATAAGCTTATGCTTCGAATAAAAGTGTAGGTACCTATTTTTTACTATTCAAAGGCTGGAAATTGGTTTTAAAACACATTTTTGCTAAACTGATTCAAATTAATGAACACTTGCCAGTCAATATGGCCGCTCGTCAACGACTCGCTTTAATCAATCTATATGAATATAAATGTATCATTGATCCTGTCAATGACAACAGGCCCACAGGCTTGCCATATCTAAATTTCAGTTCCCACTTGTCAGCAGTTTAACAGGTCGTTGGAATGCCTAATAGTTGTGTAAACTGAATTTTCATTTTTTTAAAGCCATTAATTTTTTGTCGAAATTGATTTTGCTGGCGAAGTTAAAGACAAATTGACTTTAATGTACTGTCTAATATTTAAAAAGGTGCAAGTAAGAATAATGTACAATTGAATCATTTAGTGCAAAAAAATATGTCGAAACAAAATTACCTACCGAATCGTTTAGAAACATCGATGATATTCCAGTTTTCATCAGTAACTGCAAACAAATATTAAATATCTTACCCGTGCATTAAATAAAGCGAAAATAAAAATATCTTACCAGCTTTTTTAGTGGGATCGTTAACCTTTCTCAGTTTTCCTACATAACCAGCCTTAACTTCGGTGGGGGTTGGAATTTTGGTGCAAATTTCGTTGTAACTCAACAGTCCTGGTTCTTGGGTGTAGGTACCGGCCTCACCTGGACCTTCATCGATAGTTAGAGGTGGAACGCCGGTTATGCCAGAGGCACTGGTCATTTTCCAAGTGCGACCGTACGTTTGGATACCGTAGACGATTTTGTTGGCTGGGAAACCGTTAGACAACCTATAATAAAAAAAAATGTTTATTCCCATTCTAAATCCTAATCGAAATATTCAATAAAATTTCTGCAATAAATATAGACAAACAGAAGTGACCCAATAGGTGAACCTTGCGGGACAGCAATAGAATATAATAAAATTTTAATTCGCACACAAATAGTTACAAGAAGCTGCGAATTATAGTAAAATCATTTCAATATAATATACGGAGTGGCCCAAAAGTCTGGAAACGGCCAATTATCTCGTAAAGTGCTAATCCTAATTGTACAAAATTTAAAGTACACTTATTTTGGGATACGGAAATTCCAGATTTGATATTTGCCATGTTGCCAGATTTACCGTTTCGCTTATATTATTAGTCACTTTGGTTTTTCAAATTCATCACCCTGTATATTTAGTTATTATTGGAATCTCCTATTCAATACGAGTTCAACCATATGTAACACTTATGATTTTATTCAGTCTGGAAGGTCTTAAATAAATAAAACAATCATGGAGAAATGTGGTAGACGCATTCTACCATCGATAAGGGTACTGTCAACTCACAAATGGAGCACATTTTGAACACTTGATAAAGTAACCATTATGTTAAAAATGTTATAATCTTTCAATTGTTATGTTTTAATGTAGTTGAAAATAGTTTGTATTAAAAAATTTATTGAGACAATTAGGCGTTGCCAGACTTACTTTATTTATTTAAGACCTTCCAGAATACATAAAATCATATGTGTTATATATGGTTGAACTCGTATTGAATAGGAGATTCTAATAATGACTGAATATACAGGGTGATGAATTTGAAAAACCAAAGTGACTGATAATTTAAGAGAAACGGCAAATCTGGCAACATTGCAAATATCAAATCTGGAATTACCGTATCCCAAAATAGGTGTACGTACCCCAAATTTTGTACAATTAGGACTAGCAAATTACCAGATAATTGGCCGTTTCCAGACTTTTGGGCCACTCTGTAATATGTCTACATATGTAAATAAAAATGAAAACACCCACAAAAAAAATACCAGAACGTGAGCATGAATTTAATTTTTTAAACAACAGACTAATAAAACTGAATTACAAAAAAAAATATTAAATTACAATACAATAGATATTGATTGAATACAACTTAAAATATTCTAAACCAATCATATAGGAATTTAAAAAATGATTTATTTTATTAGACGTATCCTTGAAACTTTTTTTAAATAAAGTGTTATATAATTTTGTAAAACATTTTTGTTCAATTGTTTTTTTCTATTCGGGGTATAGTACAGAATCGACTTTATATCTCCTTATTTTGTAATGATTTAATAGTAACATTTTAGTATAGGATTAGTATACAGATTAGAAAAAAGCCATAGTGTATAGGCATGGCGAGTGCACAGTCATCTCTATACTTTGTGTACAACACCAACGTCTACAGACCTATCACCTCTTCTGCCTTCAATATTGTTTACTTTTATCAAGCAGCTAAATTTTAGTAAGTTATTAATTATAATGATTATAATGCACCGTTAATATTGACTAATTTTGATGTTAAAATAAGAAAAACCAAACATGGTAGATTTTCACAAACACTTACATGTAATTTTTATGATTTTAAATAAAAGTGTAAAAATATACCAAGTTTGGTTTTTCTCATTTTAATAATATGGATTTTCATCAAGTACGAAACAATCAAAAATTTAATTGTGTTGTGTTATGAAGATATTTCTTAGGTAAATTGAAGACTACGCCGCTGAAATTAATGTTTTCTATTTATAATAGTTGGTATCGAATATTGATCGCCAAGAACCATGATTTGAGACAATTTTTTAACAAGTTTTAATAAAATTTAATGAAATCTCACGCTTCCCTGTGTAAGACGGTACTACAGGGTATGAAGACCTTGAAATTTTGAAAATTAAAGTGCTGTAGATAAAAAAATACGTACCAATATCTGACTTGGAAATCGCCGTTTTCATCAAATTTTCTACCATAAATTTCGTACAAAGGACTGGAGTAATCGGCTTCTTTTGGATTACGTTCAGGAGTGTAAAAATCAAAGTTTTGAAGGGTAACGAAATCCAAATGTGGAGCCAATTGACGGGCATCGTAGTACACTGAAAAAAAAAAAAAAATTATTCAAACAGTGCAACAATATAGTCAGCTGCCATAATTTATTCGAATATTTGATCTAACGATAGGAAATCTGTGTTTATTATGGTTGAATTGATTGGGGAAAATTATCTCGAAAAAATACGTAGTTATTACCTGTGCTGTTAACATTGGGCAAAACGGAGAGCGTCAACAGAAGTGCATCGTGCTTTAAAGCGTTCCTGAATTCTCTGATGAAAGCGGTGAATTGTTCCTTGTGATCTTCAGCTTTATCATCGACTATCGACTCACCAACAACTGAGTGTTTAATGCTGATGAAGAATTGTTCTAAAAAAAAAATTTTCACTAATCTACGGTAATCATGGTGTTTATTTTTGCATTCTTTATTGATACATAAACGACACAAAAAGAGAGTATACACAAAATTTATTCATTTACTTACTGAAACCTCCGTGAATTTTCTTTGGTTTTGTCTTTGGCATTTCCCAAGCCAAATCGATACCGTCGAAATGATGCTTTTGGATAAATTCTTTGGCTGAGTTTATGAATGTCAGTCTCTTGTCTACTGCCTCCAACTGAAAGAACACAAATTATATTTTAAACACTAAGCTGGTACTGTTAAGGGACAAAATTAAAGCTTAGAAGATGACCGAAAAGGGTACCTGGTCATCATCAGTAGATCGAGGACAGTTAGAAAGCTTACGAACTTGCAAAAAGAGGGCAAGAAGAAATACCAAGAATACTTACGATAGTCTTGTATGTAGCTGCCTTATCAGAATCAGGTCCGGCATTATCTCTATCACCTCCCACAGATAAAAGGACTCTTAATCCTGGGAATCTTCTCTTCAAATTAGTAATTTGTTGAAAAGTGTGCTGTTGAACGTCTAATTGTTCATTTAAGGGCTTAATTTTGTTAGTATATGGATCGATTCCAGCGTAACCATAGACCAGATGGGTGCAGAATTGAAGAGCGGGTTCCAAAAATGCAATATCAAATTTTCCTTGACCTGAAACAAGGTTTTCTTTTCACATAATTATACAATTTTTGTAAGCCCACCCCTGTAAATGTCATTAAAAATATTTGGCCAGTTAAAATATAAGTTATTTGCATGGAGGTAGTAGGGAGAAGAGTCGCTATGCGTATGCTGCCATATTGTCACCATCTTAATATCATTTTGTGATAATGACTTATAAGTTTTGTGGGATGTGCTTTATTTTTCGGTATTTATTGAATTCGTTTTATTTGAAGACATAATGGCATCTTGAGCTTTTAGCGTTTGTGCACACCTAGATCGTGTAGAAACTAAAAAATCATAGGGGATAATAATGAAGGTATTAAGCTAACAAGATCACAAGGTACTAAACAAAGACTACTAAAAAAAATGATATTGATATAAATTTTTATTTGCGATTTAATTTTTATTTGATATATCACGTAAGTATTATTTAAATTATAAATAACAAAATTACTGCGATCACAGGCATTCTAACTGGTCATTGCCAAATACGAAAGCATCTCCAGTCAGAATCTGTACTCTGCAGGGGGTGTGAACAAGAAGATGAGACCATCGAGCATATCCTCCACGATTGCCCGACGTTCTCATTTATTAGAAGAGTTGTGTTCGGCAAGTATCGGCTATCACAGGCCGATATAAGAGAAGCACCTCTTGGCGACGTTGTCAACTACATTAAATCTGTAAGTTGGCTCATGAGCTAGGAAGGTGTCTATCATCTTAGGAGGATGCACAATGGGCTTAGTGAGGTCTAAGTGACGTGGGGTAACCCACCCTCCACACGATTCAGATACCGCTGAACAACCCAAAACATTCTAAACAAGTTTAGAGTCATATTGTTACCACTACAACGTCAGTCTTCTATATATACAGGGTGTCCCGAAATTAGACGGTCATATTTTAACTGCGTAATCTACATCCTAAAATAGGAGTAAAAGTTCATATAAACATAGGTCCGAAAACGTTTCTTTTTCGAGATGCAGGTTGTTAAAAGTGAAGTCCTGATGACACTCTTTTGTAAATATTTTCTAAACGTTTAAAGATAACTAAGTGAAATTTGGTACAAATGCTTACCTTTTTACCCTCTATTTAATGGATTAAACCCCAGTTTTTGATCATCTTCATAGGTGGGTAAATTAGCGGGGCTTAGGGTAAGTTTTTTTTGTTGACAGTTTTTAACATTTTTGACTATAAAATTTGGAAAACCAATGTTTTCTTTATAATAAAGCTACTTTTGTTGCATCTCGCTAGGACGCACCATTTTCAAGAGAAAAGCATTCGAAAGTGTAAACAATAATCAGTAGGCCTGTGAAATCAGAAATTTTATTTTTTTTTACTAAAGAAGTTTTAAAAAATGTTTACAAAAATTTTCCATCAGTACTTCACTTGTAACACCCTGTATCTCGAAAACGAAACGTTTTCGGACCTATGTTTATATGAGCTTTTATTCCTATTTTAGGATGTAGATTACGCTGTTAAAATATGACCGTCTAATTTTGGGACACCCTGTATAGTATTACATTATTTTGAGAAGCTTATGGTATGTTATCTCCTCTCCCTGCTACCCCTCCATGGATATTTGACAAGAATTTTTTTTGGGATAAGAACGTAATAGCGTGAACTCAAATCATAGCCCCATGTTTTTTTCTATTAATATGAAACATTTTTTTAAACCTCATTTAAGTGATATATCGTACCTACTTGCTCGTTTTTAGACTTGCTAAACAGATAAGGATGTGATAATGTTAGAATTATATGTACCTCATTTTTTAATCAACTAATAGTTGTATTATTGCGGTATTATGGCCCTAGAAAACAAAAATGAGCAATGGTAAGTTTGTGCAACAAGAGTTGATATGGACAATCCACTCGAGTTGTACAATATATTTTTTCTACGACCCACTAATGGAAATCTACAAATTAAAAAAATATATTTTAGGTTATTAAGACAAAATAACTAATTTTAAAATAATTTATGAATTTTACTGATTTTTAAAATAAAATGATTATAAAAAAAAATTGGTCGCCATAGCAGCCGTGAATCGACTTTTCGCGTGGAAGACAAGCACTTTGTCCACGCGTCTACGGCCACTTTTACGAATTTGGTTTTAATATTCGTAATTAAAATAGTTTCATATAGTTTGATTAAAATTAATTTTTTTTTTTGAAAATATGGTTAAATAAAAATAAAAATGCTATTATTTACGATTATTTATCGATTCTACACAAAAATAACTTATTTTAATCTATATATAATCTCAATAACTATAAAATATACTGACAATTAGTTTGACAGGATTGTCACTTATTTAAAATTTTAAAAATAAGAGTAGTTGGGAGGATTTTATTTTTTTGTGTTCTCACTATCTAGAATGGATATGAAATATATTCGTTCAGTTGAACGCAATGACATACTTTTTCGTTTTGTAGTCTGTGCGTAGATAATCCATGTGGGTGTAGAAAAAAATAATTATTATAGTTGACCATAATTATGTTTATATTAGGCCAGGCGCTGATATATAGTATCAATAGGTATCATAGAAATAGTATAGAAAGCCATAAGAACGCCATACATCAAAAAAGAATTCATATAAGCAAATAGTGTGTCAAAGCGCATGCGCAGAACGGTGCCGGCTTGGAAAATGTTAATACTATGGGAATGGTTTGTTAGAGCAGAGACAATCCAGCGAGACGTGTAACTCAATGTATTTTTTTTGTTCGGTAAAAGTTATTTGGGCGATTGTAACCACAACCAGTCTATGATGGCGCCACTAGTAAATAGCGGGAAAATTAAAAATGCTTTAGGGCGGGAAATTCAAACATGGATTGAGAAATAAATAGTTTTTCTATACAAATTTACAGGAGAAACAAAAACTATTGTTTCACTGTATATTAAAAAATATTAAAGCTTCCAATAACATCAATTTTTTTATCATTTAAATAATCAATTTAATAAAGGAAGTTTTAATCAGTTTAATATAAGCAGTGAACATAGTTTTTATTACTCTTGTAAATTTCGCTAAAAAAAAACTTGAAAATTCTATTGATTATTAAATATTTAAACTTGGAAAAATAATACACCAAACTCTTTTTCTATAAATTATATTTTTGTAAGGTACAGAAAAACAAACTACAATTGCTTCCTTTAGAAAGTACCTCCTATCATTTTGTGACAAATTACAAAGAAAGTAACAGTTGTTATATATTCAAAATATATTTAAAAACTAATGTAACAAATATTTTATAAAGTATAGAGATACCTTTTTGCCAGACTATCATAAGTGCCATTTGAACAAATGTTGCTTACATTAGTCTGGCAAAAAGGTATGGATATGTTATGACTGTTTATTTTAATAGAAACCATGGAAACGAAACAAACACACATGTAAGTTGCCATGCCTTCTAAAAGGGAATGAAGGATGACATACTATCATCATTTAAACAGGACATTGCTGAAGGCTTACCCCTGTTATTTCGTTTGTTTGTGTATCTTGTGCGTGTGCATTCCTGTTGTGTCTGCAGTCATGTAAAAGTTTTCCTAGTCTCCTAATTTGGTTACTAGGTGGATCTTTTCCAATTAGTAGTCTAATCTATTCGATCTGTTCTGCAGCAGGAGGTACTTTTCAAACATAGCAAATAATAATAATAATAAACACTATTTAAAGATGAATACATTTTTGTAATTGCCCCTTACCTGTCTCTTACACCACCAGGGTATACCTATTTTCCACATTCCCTTTATTACAGATTACCTTACAATGTTTGAATGAATATAACATTTTACCCATGAAAAATCTAATTTCTCTTTTTCAATTTCATTTGAAACAATTGGTATATTACAATTTATTATCAAGGAAATCTTCTAATAAAGTTATGGCAAATCCTACTTAAACTACTGGTTGTTCTGCAGGATTAATTAAACTTTTCTTGAGATTGATCTCTCTCTCTCTAAAATCCAAAACCGACCTGATGTCCCCAAATTTATTTTCCAATGCATCCTGATTTAAAATTCTGCCCTTTTGTGATTCAATTTTTTTTCTTCCTTTAGAGTGGCTATTAGAGGTAGGTGTATGTAAGAAATAGCCAATCTCTAATCATTTCAAAAGTCCTTTGCCAATACTACATGTGCAGATTTTTTACTCAGCATACATTTTACTTTTCTAATAGATAGGAACTTTGTGCTGCCATTAAAGCTGTCCAGACATTCATCTACCTACTTAATGAACACAAGTAGCTGTAACAATGGATCTCTGTTCCAATTCACCTAAAATAATTATAGTCATTGTGTAATATATTATTAAACACACACATTATACAGTGGTTTTCTTAATAAATTGGAAATTACTTACCTCTAGAAAGAAATGTGTACAAAAACGCGAGTTTGGTTCCAGAAATTGCTTCATGCAAAAAATAATATGCAAAAATAAACATTCCCCCCCAAAGAAAATTAATTAAACAACAAAATCAGACTCAAAGAAATATACGGGGCCCAAATTAAATTAATTTTAATAAAATGCACATGTTCATAACAACATTCATAACATTGTCAGTTGTCAGTTTTAATCGATATTTTGACGTCAAAAAACCAGCAACACCAGCGCCCTCTGAAAATGGTGTTAGTTTTATTGGAGAGAGATAGACATATGTAAAGATCAATGTAAAAGAAAAAGAGGGTCATATATGTAATTTAAATGGACCACCGAACATATTTTCCTATTAAGTTACACGTCTCTGTTGTCTCTGGTTAGAGTCAGCACAGTTAAGCAGACAACAGTGTACGTCGACTGATTACGTCGAAATCAGTTTGAGTTTGATTTGGACAAACTCGTTGAGTTGTCAACTGAAATGAGGTTAGGATAATTTGTGTTATAATTAAAGTGATAAAATGTCGTCGAAATTTTCTTCTAAAAAGTATGGGATATTAATTGATCAAATACATAGGTGAACATACATGATGTTTCAAGTTAGCAGTCATACATTTTTAGAGGTATTTCTGTATTATAGAAGAAGTTCAAGTGAACGTTGTTTTGAAAGTCGTTGTTAAGGGCGGCGTCTGGCCATCTCTCAATAACTGTTTATCTAGACAATTTCGCATTTTTTTTTTACAAAATCCTTAAAGAAAAATACTCAAAAATATGTTTAGTTTTAAAGAAAATTCCTAGGTAAGACATGTGGTTTAGATACCAAAAGTCAAAGTTATTTTTCGAGTACTTTAAAACAACTCCGTTTCATAAGACGTCTCTACAACTCCTAGGCATTACGGTGGCGCAAAAAAACCGACTATTTTCTTTGAGTCTCGTTCGAAAATTTATATTCTAACAAACCACTTTTACTAAAACTGACGTGAGTTCAACGCGACTGATTCTGCCGTACGCGTACGTCGTGTGACTCGCACTATCCTAAAAAACGGTAGCTTTAAATGCTCGTATTATTGTAGCTGCCAGAGGCTGATACAAAGTAGGTCTCAGTACTGTGGACCTTTCGTTTAAACTGTTAATCGGAATGCAATCTTGATCATTTTTGTTCAATCTACACCTAATTCTCAACGTTCGTAACTTTTTCAGATGTATCTAAAGGTACTTTTAGAAATAAGTTGTTGGGATAATAATTTTTAAACATTTTTTTTAGATCAAATAAAAGAAAACGTAAACGAATGTGTTATAATTTTATGAACTCGTGCTTCAAAGAGCTTTCATTTGATAGATACTCCACAAGATGGCATCAGATCTTTTCTTTTCAACTTTCAATTTTATGCCAACTATTCCTTTTTGCCTAATTGAATTTTAGGGGATGTTTTGACGAGGTTAATATAAGTTCGCGATATAAAAGATTTTCATCCTATGTACACCATATTTTTTGAAGCTGTTATCTTGTAAAATAATTCAATATTAGCTGGTCAAATACTTATGGGACATCCGATGTAAGACATCCGGTGTAAAAATTTAAAAAAAATGTGCGTTTTTGTGAGGAAACTATTTTAATGGTTTAATCAAAATGTCGTTACTATCAGTCTTTACTGTTGTCATAGTCAATTAACAATATAAAAAAAACACATAAATGATGGGTTTTATAGAAAAAAAGATGGACTACAACGTATAATGTTCCAAATGGTAAGCAACACAAAGTGATTTTTATTTTAAAATCTCTTATTTATAGGAAGCTTTGAAAAATACTGTCATAATAACATTTATGTCAGTTTGTAGACGAAAAAATTGAAATCTTTCAAGACTACACAATTTCCTGTACAAAATTTGATACAATTTCTTGTACAATTTAAATCGTGTAGTATTATAAAGTAAATTATTTGAAAACTCGAATCACAACTAATCTAGGTATTACCGATAAAATCGAAAGAAGGGTATTAAATAACTTACAGGAAATATATGTTAAATCCTTCCTATAACAACGCTATTTCTTAATTATGGCTTATTTTAAGGTACCTACTCTCATAAAATTTACTTTTAATTGTAAAATAAATAAAAACATTAATTTCTTTATTTTAATTTGAAATGGTGGTCGTAACGAAAATATAGTAAATAATTCGAGTTGTAAGCCCATTACACAAACAAGTGGAATTTAGGTAATCGCCGGTACTTACAATTATTCTTGTTGTGTAATATACTATTAAACCAAATTGACAAAAACTACAAAATTGGACCAAGAGGATTATTTTAAAAATCAGTAGATATGTTATATAGGGTGACTCATTAATACTATAAGAAAATTTATGGTCACATTCTTGTTGATTATCAGATACATTTAGCTACCTTTTCTCGATTTTAATTGTACAATTCTAATTTCTAATCCATTCAAAATATTTTGTGACTGTTTAAAATAAATCAAAGATTGCTTATTGCTATTTTTGAATAATTTCATAACAATTACTCGTTACATAACCCCTTAAGAGAGATTAATAAATTTCCAACTGACGACATAAATGTTTAACAGATTTCTCATAAAAATGGAACAAGACTTGTTTGCCTTGGTAAAAATCCACTGCGTGAATTGACCGTGGTAAAATAAATATTAATAATTAATTGTCTTAAAATCATTGACTTCTTCGTAGACAAAAAATACACCAAAATCATTAACAATTTAGAAATAATTTAGAATAAATTTTAAAAGGAAAAAAAAATTAAATAGAAGAGATAATTAAAACGATAACAGCATTTAATATCATTAAGAAAAATATTATTCAATACAATTCTGATAAATATTTATTTGTTATTACAACTGTTAATATGACATCGAAAATCTTATTTCAAAGGTTATCTATCCGCAATAATTATCTTTTAGATTTTTTATGGAACTGAGATAGGTCGTTTTAGAGGTCTAAGGTCTCGGTGTTAATTAAGATTAAGTAGTAGTTATTGGTTGATTAAAGTAATAACTATTAATTGATTATTAAGACCTCCTTTTTGAATTATCAATCAGAATTGAATTATTATGGTTATAATTTAATCAAGGAAGAGGAGAATGAAGCATGAAGCATACTGAACAGATTTTTAGCATATACTTAGACGAGGGTAGAAGAAAATGAAGAAAAAAGGAAAAAACACAATGGAAACGTTTGTAGAAAGTTAGAGGCTTGGGAAAATCGTCATAATCAGGCGGATTGAATGTCAAGAAAGAAGAATCTAATAATGTGTATAAAATAAAAGCATATATTATCTAATCTACATTTTCGCATTTATTTTATTTTCCTAAAAAAATATTTCAAAACTAATCAATTAAAATATCGCCTGACCATCTCAGATTAGTTGGATATTTAAAATTTCCTTTTGAACGCCATAGTGAATGTCATTTTTTACAAAAAAAGTGGTAAAAAATACGCAAAAAAGCTACACACTGTTACTTTTATTTGTTTTTCAAAATTGTTGTTGATTAATCTATTAAATGATTTTGTCAAGAATTTCCCTAAAAATTCTTTTGTGGACTTTTATAAACTAAGATTATATTTAATTAATTAAATAAATAAATAAAATTCAACTAAATCTATTTTTTTGATTTTATGATTGGACCCTTCTTATTAGATAATATTATATATTATTTAAAAATTAAGGAAATAATGACATAATTATAATAAAATATAGATGCTCAATAAATAAATATGGATCATATACCAATAATATTCATTATTAGACAGAAATACAATAATATTAATGAAAAAATACCAACATTTTTATTGCATGCCTTTTTTTGTTTTTTAAAATTTCAAAAATATGACTTTACCTTGTCTACTGAATCCCTTTTCGTCACAGTAGCAGACCACTTTGGGATCTCCCAGTGAGGAGCATACGTAAGAAAAAATTAACAATAAAAATATATTTAAACCCGCTGCCATATTGCTAGGTCTACAACTGAAACTGACCAACAGAATTTTGTACCGAATGTATTTGAAATTCGTCGGTAAGCGCGCATGACCTATAGACATTTTTGGAAGGGGAGATACTGTTTGTTACAAAGTGATAATGAGTTCTTTGAATTCTATAAATTATTGATATGATTTATTTTACATAGTTTTTTTTTCTTAGTATTATTTTCGATATTTTTTACTGTATGCTATCTCCAGAAATTGGCAAATTATTTGCACTAAAATTAAATTTAGGCAGGTGTACTCCAATATCGATGAGGATCTATGTTGCAAATACAAACTTTTAAAAAAAAATTAAATTATTAAATTAGAAATAAAATTGAACTAAACAGAATCAAGTTTTTTTAAGAAAATATTTCCTACGATTACTAGTGTAATACATAGTAAGATTTGTAAATAGTATATTACTTATATGATTCGTTTAGAACTAATTATTACTTTTTGCCATTTTGGCACTAAAAAACTATAAAGGTCCAGGATCGGATTTTAAATATTGGATGTTGTGCGTTGTGGTTTAGTTTGTGATTATGTTTAAAAATATCTAAGGAGGAAAGAAAGTTTTTTATGAACCCAAATATTAAAGAACTATTTTACAAAGGTTAATGCTTGGACAGCATTTTCTTGTTTCTATCCTCTTATTGTAAGAAATTTCTAAAAAGAAAATCGAATTTCTAGAAATGTTTTGTGATAATCAATCTCAAAACCAGTAAACATTGACAAAGATAAAGCGAAATTAAAGGACAGAGTATTTCGTAATATATTTAATAAAATTTAAATATTTAACTATAGGTTACAGATAAAGACGAATACTTTGTGGATTAACATTATTTATCGGTACTTCACAAGAATAATTGGAATAATAAAAAATAAACTGACAGTTTGACCTAGCTTTATTCGCGGAGCCTGTCGCCGACAAATTCACAACAAAAATGAGCATGCACATTTTGATTTCAGGCCTTCGCGGAGCTGAAAATGTAGTAATTGCTCGGAGGAAAATCTGGTATTTTGACAAAATGTCCAGCATTTACGGGACATTTGTCAGTAGTACACGACAAGTTACAGACAAGTCAAAACGATCAGCAAACAGCGTGGACAATTTGTCAGAAAAAATTGCGTCAATAAAGAAAAAAAAAAGGAGCGTAAAAAAGAGGAATGTTTGATTGAGTTTTTATTGAATGTTCGAACTAATAAAAATGGAACAACAATTAAAAACTACAATTACTGAGGCCCTTCCTATAGGGCCTCACTATTGCATTCGTGCAGAAGAAAAAAATTTCCGAGTCCGAAAATGCAAAAAAATTTCGTCTGGTTGTCTCTGTGTATGTATGCCGGCACAATAATTCTAGAACGAAAGTTCTGATGACGAGCGGTTTTGATTTTCTTGAATAATTACTTCTGACTTAGAACCCTATTGATTTTCAGAATTTTCGGTTCATCCTAACTACTTTAATATCAATTTTCTTAAAATCCGCTTATGCATTTCTTATGTGACAATTTTAGGAATTTCAATTATTTCTAACGTCAACATTCCTAACATTTTTTACATTCCATAAATTGCAAACATTCTCTAACGACCTGTCAAACAACAGCTGTTGATAGTAAAGGTGAAATTTCTAAGGCGGGTTGTGTGACGGCCACCCCCCAGGCCCTCTTTTCTTTTTTGATTTGTTTAGTTATTTTACTTTACTCTCTTTGAAATGTTATTAATTATTTCACAAGTTTTATTTTATTTTACTTTAAATTCTATACTTACTGTAATTTGGCCTTTTTCTTCTAGTAGTAGAAGTGATCGTCTAGTTAATTAATTGATATTTTATATACCCACGTTGTGATAATGTTAATTAAGGTAAACCAGGATTCGATGCAAAGTTTGGTGCAAATTGATAAATAAAACATACAAATTCATATTTAAACTCTATTTATTTTTCATACTTTAAATGTGATGCAATAATTATCAAAGTATATTACAATTGTTACTATTTACTGAGATCTCACTTGAATCCCGTTCAAACGCAGACCATATTCATTTGCTATCAATATAATATATTTTACTTAGGTTGATGACCAACGGAGTTAACGAACAGCGTCAATTGGCCAGTTGATTAACTATAGTGTTGTTGTTTATATTCTGATTTAGGTTGATGACCAACGGAGCTAACGAACAGCGCCAATTCTCCAGTTGATTAACTATTGAGTTAATGTTGATTTGATTCTATTCTAGATATATGTATACAGGTTGCACCATCTTAGGCAAATATTATGATGAGTATAGAGGTGATGACCAACGGAAGTAACAAACAGCGCCAATTCGCCAGTTGATTACCTTACTGTGTTGATTTCACATATACTTTGTTTCAAACCTTGTAGAACGGGTTGCTTGGCGTATAGGTGTCCCCCTTTGAGCTAACGAACAGCGTATTCGTCAGTTGGTTAACTTACTTTTAAATTTTACCATCTTGGTTTGTACAATTTATCCAAGATAGCACATCCCTGTATATTTCTAAAATATTGATTTTTATAATTTCTATTGAGTTAACTTAATACAACCCTGTATATGTTTGAATATTGAATATTATAATTTCTATTGAAATAACTTAATATAACCCTGTATATTTCTTAATATTGATTTTTATAATTTCTATTAAAATACTCAAAATTTCACCCATCGAACACAGATGTCTATACTGTCTTCCGGGGTGTATGACCTGAAGGCCATGTGGTTTATTGATAATATTTTACAGCAAATGTCAAGCCTGCGCCCTTAAACGAAACCGGGGTGGTATCTCAAAGAAAGATACGTAAATCTTTTGACTCACCACTGAAAATACAGACATTAGATTATGTACTAATTTCATCTAGCGTTGTGACGGCGTCTATTTAGGGGCGTCGCAGGGTTGGGCGCCGCCTCGCGTCGAGACGCCTAGCGTCGTGGTGGAAAGGAAGGTATTTAATACGGTACTGTATTGGGACAGATATACGGTAGAATTATGTAGGTAGTGTGGGACGTGATATTATGAAGGAAATATTTGGGGACGGCAAGCGTCGGAAATAAGGCGTGGGACGTTTAGCGTCGAAATGAGTGTACGGTAGGAAATACTTAGATGGTGAGGAATGTGACAGCGTTCGAGACGTAGGGAGTAGGACGGCAGGACGTTGGGCGTCGAGACGTTGACACCTTCGGGGATAGGAGGTATTGTAGGATAGACGTCGTTTAGGAAGAGCGTTTTAGGAAAGGTACTGACTACATAACTGGGTACAGATAATAAAATGTATGCTTGCACATCAAATGATAAAAATTTAATGAAACAGAGCTCCTTTTCGTCAGACTTTTTATACACAGTTTAATCGTTATTGTGACGTCTCTATCGTTTTGGTTCTCATAGAAAATACGAATGTGGGTGCAAAAGGAGGTGGGTTATTTATTACATGTTTTGTAAGCTTTGTGTACTGAAATATTGTCGAAATCGGTCTAGAAATCGAAACTAGAAATATAAGCGAGTTAAGTGTTTTAATGATAATTACTTCGTAAACAGAAATACGCTTTATGGTGTTTTCTTTGGGCTGGTTCTCAGAGACACGTGGATATATTTTGGATCTTTACGGACGTGGTTATAGCTACTATTTATTAGGTGTCGTAAATAAGATTTAATTATCTGGGAGATTTTTCGTTAAATGAAGCATTTTGATATTTAATAAGAATGTAATATTGTATTTAATAAATGAAATTAATAAATTATTAAGGTACCTGGGTGCGGTAGGTTACAGTTGCGACAATCATATTTGCAACTATAGCCATTTTGGAGGCTATTTTTATTCGAAATTAGTCGCCAAGCCTGCCAATTTATGAAAAATATATAAGCAGTTTCTTAAAAATTACTTTTTTATGGTGGTGCTAACTTAAGCGTACTGCTATTTCGCCCCTAGCCACAAAAACACCTTCATCAAATTTACTGGCTCTCTGTCGCAACCCCATAGAATAATTAACCGGCCATTTTATTTGGCAAAAATCAGAATAATGCTTGGCTGTGCCTGTCAACTATCAAGATGGCAACTGTGATGTGTGAATGGCTCTTAAATGTTAAATTATTTAAAACTGTATGCTTCTTTTGATATTTATTGCAAATAATTTGTAGTGTATCTCAATTAAGGCTTTCCATAAATAAAGGTACAGCAAGACAGATAATATAATGTTCTTATACAAAGCAATTTTTTATTATATAAAAGAGATGTGAGATATAATACTGGTTTACATATTCAACCAGCAAATTGCAAATAATAATTGGTAAACTACTAGTCATAAATTTTCTCAATTCATAAAATTTAAAAATGAATCTTCTTACCTTGGGATTTTAATAACGTAATGTGATCAACCCATTTCAAATTTTGATCAATTATGATACCAAGGTATTTTGTTCTGTTTTTCATTTTAATTATAAAATTGTCATTTATTTGTATGTTGAAAGAAGGCCTTTGTAAAATACATTGCTCTCTGTGGATCTACTTTAACACAAAAATAGTTTTGTGGCTGTAAGTTACTAAAACCTACCGTCTCAAAACTATTAATACTTTAAACATAGTAAGTAGTAAAACGAGGGGTAAAATAAGAATAAATTAAGGGAAATACTTCAAAAGGGCAGGTTTAAAGAGTATTTATTATCACAAGAAAATATATCCGTTCTGTTTATTTATCAAGTATTGTTTGAGGTTACTTCTGAATACATTTATTGTTGTTTTTTTGTTTTAATTTCTGTAGGCAGTCTATTAAATTTTTTAAACCTAAAATAAAAATTATATTTTGGGAACTTTTAGTGATGGCTTGCCGTACATGAAAGTCAGATTTGCTTCTTGTATTATAGTTGTGATATTGCGAATTATATTGAATTTTTTCTAATAGATCTGATGCGATGGTACTATGTCATTTTTATTTCATAAATAAATATCAGTCATGTACTGAACATAATTCTGAACTGAACGCCAATTTATTTCTTTTAACATAGTTGCAATACTCATCCTTCTGTCCTTTATTAATAGAATATAAATAGGCGAAATAAGGAACCCAAATATTTTACATGAGCAGGCTTAAGAGGTAAAGGGGCCAATTATTATTGGATAAATTGCTCGAACAAGTTTTTAAAACCTAATCAAAAGGCGATATAGAATGGTTTTAAAAATCAAGGCTTGTGAAAATCATTAAATGGTTGAACCTAATATAAGTAATGCCAATGTTTCATAAAACAAAAAATTCAACGTCCTAATACTACTATCGGCTTTCGGTCTTTCGTTCCAAGTTAAATCATTTCTCGTTTTTGTTACGCTACGAGTTTACCCTTTTGGGCCTCAGTCTCGATAAGGTGGGAACCACCATTTTAGAACACCAAACAACAACAATCTGAAATCTAAGTTAGTAATTCAATGCACTACATAAAATTACCCTAAATATCTTTATATTGCATTTGCAATAAAATAAAGTTAGTATAATAATGCAATATTTTCTTTAAGTTTTCTTTTCTTTTAGTTAAGATAATATTAAGTATTGTATTGAATTAATAATAAAATTAGCTATCAAATAAAGCGACACACTTTATAATACGTAATAGTTTTTTATCCCGCTAGAGGGTGCTACGATAAAACGAAAGTCATATTGCTGAATTTCCCATAAAATTACTATTTCAATGAAGTCCCATACAATCCCTCCTGCGATTTAAAAAAATTGTGGGTGTGAGTCACGTGGATAAAAAGGAGGCAGATTTTTTATGTTAATAAATGCCTCGATTTTCACCTCTGTTTTAAATAACGGAATTCACAGGATGGTATGTACCTCTTTATTATAAATGTTATTTATAAATAAATGAATCACTTATTGCTACTGTGGGTGGTTTAGGTGAAAGGTTTTTCAAATGTACTTTGTGGTTACCAGTGACTAACTAAGTAGTTAAAATGCTGTTAATGTAAAGCAAATAAATAAACATTTATTTTACATTCAAAACAAGTATTTTTTATTTGTTTATGACATATCTGGAACTAGTATTCATTGGATGATAAATGAAAAAATACCGGTGATCTAACAACACGTCAGTTACTGGTTTACACAGTGGGTTAAAATTACATATAAAATGGGTAAAAAATGTACTGGTTAATTAAAGATGATTAAAGTATGGAGTCTCTTCGAATCTTGAGTTTAAGACGATAAACTCGTAGTCTTCTATTTTTCTATTTTTTTAACGAAAAATACCACGTTGCTCCAAAATGTCTCCCAGTGAATTAAGAATTCATTTGAAAACTGGACTCTCCTGCGCTTATTTTCTGGAGTTAAAAAAACTTTGAGGGCAGCAGCGCAATTTTTTAAGCCAGCTTGTTTTAAACGCATTTAAGATGTTCTGAGACATCCTGGGAACAATATTTCTTCTCGTACTTTCACAACGCTTTCAAATGGATTTTAACGGATATGTTCTGCAAGAACAACATTGTCTTTAATTTCATTAGAGACCTACCCTACACCTTGTCGAAAGGTCTTTGCAATCTTTGTTCTTCTTTACAGCGTTTTTTAACTTAAAACGTTTGACGTAAAATAAAATGAAAAGGCTCTGGAGTCCCTCTGGATCGATACGCCATGGACTTAACGAAATTTTTATAAATGTATCACTTTCTAAGTCGAACAACATAAAAAATTTCAATTTTATCAATAAAAATTAAATCACAGAGGTTCAATTAATTGATAATAAAATAAAATCAACTCAAAGCCATGTATCACAATAATACGAGCGGCCGTTCCTCTCTTGAAAACAACTTATCCTTTGGCTAATACCACACCAGGCATTGTATTACATTAAAAAAAGAAAATATATTGTCAAAGGTAGAGTGCACGGTTCGTAGACTGAAACGGTGACCTCATCAGGTTACTAGGGAGCAGGTGTGACATCTCAGAATGAAAAACAGCAAGAAAAAATTAAGTATTGATTTTCATACAATTTCAAATAAATTACTTTTTATTTGAATTATAAAAAGAAATATTATTGTGTGAATGGTTTATTTTAAATATTTTGGGTTAGAGTACGGCATTCAAGCCGAACTCGGACCACATTGTTTATGCCCTGAAATAATTTGAAATTTTAGCATGCATGGAGCGAGCTGTAGTGTTGCTATTTGCAAACACAATTTTTAGAAACAAAAATCATCAGAAGAAACGGACTGAACATAAACTGATATTAAAGGCTAATGGTAAGAATTTAGAATATTATTCTGCAATTATTATTCATAATTATTAAATAAATTATATAATTAAATCGGTTTTATAAAAATCCTTATACAAATATGGAGTATGATTTCATACTGCTAGATACAAATTTATCTACTTAAAAAGGTATTTCCCCATCTGCTACAAAGATGTTAAAATTCCCTGACGTAGAGGAATACCACTATAGTGTTGACAACACTGGAAAACTCCCCTACTTAGGTTTATAAATTTCCTTCAGAGGGCGTATCGCTTAGTTTGAATTATGGAGTGTAGAGGAAAGGAGGACAATCTCATACGGTCAATATCTTACTAATAATGCCTTTTAGTGATGCCTCGCTTTTCATCATCTGATTTACAAATGGATGAGCAATGTATGTGACTATATACCATTGCAGTTTTCCCTTCTGTTTTTAAACTAGGAGGAGCGAATTAAAAAGACGCATTTACACAGTGAAAAGTAACTAGATTCGTTACTAAGAGCATGTTCCGAAATATAGTCGTGTTCAAAATTTATGTAATAGTTTGTTATTATCAGGCCTAGTCGGCGAACGGTCTTTGAGGGGCTAAGGAACAAATAAATGTCATAGGAATCGATATTTTTATTGGTTCCAGACAACGGTCGTAAATTTTACATTATTGTGATCTGGAAAGTGTCCAAAATTAACTATCACTGTCAAATGAAATTTTGATTTGTTGACGTTCTCAGAAATATGTTTTCCTTGCTTTTGAAATCGACTTTTTGAGGATTATGATTTTTTTAAATGGATACTGAATATTTATGAAAGTTGTTTAAATAATATCAAGATGCAGGTTAGTATAAAAATATGATCATTTTACATTTTCAGTGATATATTTGTTATAGGTATAAACTTAGAAGGTAATCAGTGAATGGCAACTGGATCACACAGTGACTGGAATTTCTCCCTTGAGTAATATGGACATTGTAGCTTATTTAGTGTTAACACATAGTTAAAGGGCAAATGAAAGCATTCAAAAGTTTACAGGCCTCAAGTTATAATTTGTATCTATATTTTTTAACTTAAAGTGACTATTTATACATACCTATGTAGTAGATATTTTTAAAATATTTGTTGTGGAAATGTTAGCTCATTATGTAAATGTTTCTATTGTTTTTAATCATTTTGGTAAGAAATTTATCAATTTTTAGTTTTAAAAAATCAGTAATAAAGTTGTTGGTTTTCTTCTGGAATACTTCGTAATTCATCTCTTCATAGTAATCTCCCGTCTTTTTACCTTTAAAACCAATAATGTATTTTCTACAAAACCTTCTTCAGAATCAGCATGTAAAATAGGGAAGAAGGAACCATAATCGTAGAAATTCAATAAAATTGCTTACTGAAGTTTTGAAAAGAACTATTTTATTTACGAAATAAAGTAAAAACTATGTAATAATGATATATCAAAATATAAAACGTCAGAACTGTCAACAATATCAATTTAGCTGATATTAATGCTAAAAGTGATGTGTGAAACTGACTGCAATCTGACCAATCAGAAGTCTACAGAATTGCCAACTTAAATTCAAATCGCTCCTCCTAGTTTAAAAACAGAGTATAGTACACGAGCGCCATCTTAATTTTATACATTTTGGTGGATACTTTTTGATATAAACAACCCTTAGAATATGAAGACTAGATCCTTAGAACATAAACAACCATATAAGATTGTCCTCATTTCCTCTACACTTCATAAAAACTTTGAAGTCATCCTTAATATTTTACACTATCGATATGTCAAAATTAAAGTATATTAACATCAATCAAAAATCCTCAAACTAGCACTGGTAAAAGCGACAACAAAATTTTGAAATGGAAATTATATGAATATTTATAATGGTTTCTGATATGCCGGAACTGCCGTTCTTTCCCAAATACGAAGTTGAATATTTTTACGATAATAGTCTGTGCATTGTTTGGTTTGAGTCGAATTTTTCGCAAGCATACTACAATGTCCATAAAACCAATAGAGGAAGCAATGCTTGTACTTTAATTGCAGTTCTTATGGCCGCAAAGTGTCATAAATTTAATCTTCTTGTAAGTAGATACAGCTAATATAGTCATTAGTGACAGTAAAATTTGGTTATTAAAATTTATTTTCAACATAAAATACGAGTGTATAATGAAAAACTAAAACATGGCATATAAAATCAATCCCACATAAACTTTTTTACTTAGTATTTGTAGAATAACGTTCAATACTCGAATTCGGGTAATGTCCGAAATAATTGCCCAAAACTAGTTTTATGCAATTCGTAATTTTTCTTATTATGCTTTTCAGTGTTACAAAATAAGAATGAACTAGTTTTGCGTCATTTGAACTGTACCAAACTAGTTTAATATATTTCTGACTGACTAGGACCAACGACGAATAACTACTAGACTAATCCATTTATTCATAATTAAGCAAGTATTCAGCTCCTATTTTATGTTAGGCAAACAGAGATGTCGCCTCGAATGCTGCAATGTGAAGAACGAGACCCTTACTAAATTGAGTGAGGTTGGTACGTGCAAACCTCATTTTTGGTGAATAAACCAGCTCGTACAACTGCACGGTTGCTAAAAATAAATGGTGTACTTTACTGTAAATCACCTTCAGCTTCAATAGTTGCAACAAGAAAAATAGTCATTAAATTGAAAAACTGGCACTAAGAATACAAATATACTTCCTTAATATAGGTAATTGGGCAATTTAGGGTCTTAAGTAAATTCCAAATTATAGACTTTCCCGTAATATTTTGCCAATTACTTGGATAAACACCGTGAATGCTTGCAATTTTGTTTTTGTAAACACAATTGGTTTAGTAGCTGTTCGTCGTTGATTCAACCAAAGAAAAGTAGGGTTATTTTCTTGTTAATATTTCGAATTTTACAAGATGAATTCAATAATACAGAACTTGAAAAACCCCTTTTCTTTTTCATTTTTGAAAGAAACGAGTTGAAGGAACAAGAGAAATAATGGAAATTATGAAGTGCAAAGATAAAGAGGAAAGAGACAACCAAGGAAGATAACGATAAGATTGACAGACGCATGAAGCAATGCTCGCAAAAGTTGTACCGGTGTTTCTATGACAAGAGGTGGTTTTAGCAGGTAGGCTATCGTTATTCGGTAGAATCCTGCACGTCTGGGTGCATTTCCCAGATGGTCTTTGGAAGATTTCCACCTCGTAAAAAAAGTAAAGTTTAAGAAGTATCCGAAGTTATGCCTCCTTCAGTTGGAGGTCTTCTTTTAAGGTGTTTATAAAGAAGTGATGGTTTTAAACTGCTGTTGGCCAGGAATTCATTTCAAATTACTCAGAGCGGTTTAGGTTGTGACCAACGACGAAAAACTACTGAATTAATCTATTCAATCATAATTAGGTCATTTTTTATTGCAATCATTCAGATTGTGTTTATTATTATGCAGACAGAGCTGTCGCATCGGCTGCTGCATTAGAAAGAAGGAGACAGCTGCTAATTTAAGAGGGGATGATTTGTGCGAGTATCTTTATCTGAGGAGCGAGCATGAGTTTTATGAATAAATCAGTATTTACGTCTATACTTACTTTACACTGCTGTCACGCTACAAAATTAATTGCGTACTTTCCTAAAAAACACTATATAACTATTATACTAGTTTCAAAAAGAAATCATACATTAAACTGAAAATAACTGGAATTAGGAATGCAAATGTACTTCCCTAATGTAATTTTGAAAGTCTTTTGTGAGCTTTTAGAGCCTTATTATTTTTATTTTTAACACCAAATTATAACCATAAAAAATCCTAACAATACTCTTCCATACTATTTCATAATAATTTGACAACTACATACGTGGATGACACCGTGAATAATTGCAATTCGATTTTTGTAAACAAAATTAGTCTAATAGTTTTTTGTAGTTGGTTGTGACTCTTTTTCGGTGAACTAAAACCCTAGTCACTGTCATATTTTCGTTTTTTTTCCTCTCTCTGTTTTTCTATTTGTTCATTGCCTTGTCTTTCCAGGCGGTAGTTCACTAAAACTTTTACCATCACTACTCTGTTTTGGTTTCACATTCATAGAGAGTCCATCCAATACCACACAAAATCAACAGCTAAACCTTAGCTTGAACGAATTTAAGAGCGTAATAAGACTCCCTTTTGGACACTGCGGACTTAAAAGACATCTAAATCTCTTAGGGATATCTAACGACTCCCTATGGAGAATATATGAAGAGGAGGACAAAACTGCTATTCACATACTCTGTCATTGACGGAACCTCAAATGGGAATGGGAATGTCACTTCGGGGTTTAATATTCAGAACCCGAGAAAATCGCGAAAGCGCCCATCGGACATATTCTTGAATTCATCAAGAATGTTATTCTGACTGGGTAGAAAATAAAAGTGGTAAAATAAGGCTAGACTTCAGTAAAAGTGAGCTTTTAACGACACACTGATCCAGAAAGATAAATAGATTGGTTCCAAATCGGAGACTGAAGTAGAAGAAGCAATTTATTCCTCGTCCAGCGTTTGGCAAGACGTTTTTAACCAAGATAATAAATTTACGGAATAATAATTATTTACTTTTACGTTCGACCTGCGATTTTAAAATGTGTCTTTATTGTAATTTACTTATACAAGAACTCAGTACTGGTTAACACTACTAATATTTAGGTAGGTACACACTGTGTAGTAAGTACTAACTTATTTATCTTTTTGATAAATCACTCACGGTTCTTAAGAACGTCGTACGATTTAGACTCTATTCTTTTTCATGTGATTGCGCCATTTCTTTATCATTGACGTTATTTTCGTTATTTCGAGCGTATTCCTGGAAAGTTTCGGTTCGCTCGATTCAAATAGACTTTGCCGCATAAATTACAATACGTGTACCTTCTTTGTAAAGCTCGCGAACCACCATTTGGGAAGGGATTTTTGTGTGATGTGGCTAAGCTTCACTACGGAAGCATTATTTATGTAGTAGAATATTTCTGATTACTTTAGAAATATATTTTGTGAATCACCAATACAACACTATGGTATTGCTACTTATTAATAACAAAAATCAGCTACTTCCAATTGGGTCATTCATAAAAACATTTTCGCCTACTTACATAACACAATTAAATATGGAGCGTATTAGGCAATCGCGGTCCCGTCGCATCGCGAGCTGTGCTAGTCTCGATCGCATCGCAGTCTTCTGAAATTCTTTGAAAAAGATAAAAGCAGAACGCGATATGCGAGCTAGCAAAGCTCAAGAACACCAAGTGGAAAGGGATGCGTTATAAAATATGGGAAGAACTTCACTGAGCGCGCTCTAGACTAGCTAGCCAGCGATGAGCGCAATACATGTTAACTCGTGTTTGCTACTTCTTTTTTCCGGTCTATATCATATGTACATGAAAATGCCCGTATGTAATTTTTAATATGTATAAATATACCTAATATCATAATTGTAGTTTTGTTTCTAGTCTGTAAATCGACCTGTCTCTAAAATAATGAATACATATTTTTTAGGTACATTACCCCTTTCACTGTTTGAACATGAGCATGATTCAATTATTTGCAATTAGCATGTTAGAAGGGAACAAAATTCATGAATCTTTGAAACTGAAAAACCAGTTAAAACATATAAATCTTAATGTACCAGAAGCGATCAACTTTGGTGGATCCGATATGGATGGCATCGTCGAATGGGTAAATTAATTTGATTTTTCTTTCATTTAAAATATAATAGTAGTTGTTTTAAACTTGCAGAAAAGCGAAGTGTTTATGCAGCCACTAGTGACATCTCTATATGAAAATATAAAAACCAACTGGAGGCTCTGGCTCGGGTCTGATATCCAAAGAGAAAACTACACCCTTTACATAATACTAGTTGCCGATTCTAGAACGGTGTTGTTTATTTTGCAACTAAAAACAGAGTCGGTAAGATCTTTTTTTTTTGTTTCATTTGACCGTTTCAATTTTATTATCTACAGGTCTTTAGGAAAAATTCCAACCGGGTCAAACCCCACACCAAAATCAATAAATCTTTCATCTTGAGATCTTAATGGTACAAATGGTATTATTGATAATACTCAGTTTGGCTTCAGAAAGGAATTTAGTACAACTACCCTTTTACTAAATGTCAGTGACCACATAATAAAATCCCTTGATGTAGGGATGACTACAGCATTAACACAATTAGACCGTTCGAAAGCATTCGATACTCTTGTGCGCTAAACTAAACTATTATAGTTTTGATGATACTTCCTTAAGATTCTTTAAATTTTACTTAAGTAATCGACATCAAAAAGTAGTTCTAGATAATAGTTTATTAAATTTTTCATGTGTAACCTCTGGAGTCCCTCAAGGTTCTATACTGGGTCCCTTACTTTTTCTAATTTACACTGCCAACATAAATTCAGTTGTAAATTACGTTAAAATCAAACCTTTGCCGATGACACTCAACTATACTGCTCATTTGATCTAAAAAACTACACTAGTGTTTCTGACTACATAAACAGAGACTTATACAAAGTGGCCAAGTATTCTAAAGCTCACAATCTAAAACTAAATGGTAATAAGTGCTCTGCAATGTTCTTCTATCCAAAAACTGCCAATGCAAGTTGCTTAAAAAATATCAAACTGGTCATTGAAAACCAACCTTTGAAAGTTGTTGTTGGGGAAGAAATCTTGTCCTATAAAAATAAATTTAAGAGTTTTAACATAACTATTTATTTTTCAGGTTGCCCTGATTGATTCTCATCAGCACAGTGGTGATAAAGGTGGATGCATGGCAATTACGGAACTGGCGAAAATGAAATTTATGTGCCACTGGTACAGCGACATGCTGTATAAATTTTACCGTTCTACGCCGCAAATTTACGAGCTGTCATTTTTGTATTTTTCATCGCATTTTAAATAAAATAAAAATATCTTAACGCAATTTAATGTTTCTTGATGATGATGACGTTGTGATAGTTTTGGTGGACATTTGAAGGGGGTGTCACAGCCACATTTGGTTGTTACTAATAGGAAGCATCTAAATCGAGTATTTTTTCTTCGGTTCCCTGATATTTTTATGGGCCATCTTAAAACTTTAGTTTAAAAAACTGAAATTTAGGAAATGGACAGAATAACGCGTTCACATTCTGAACTTGATAGAAGTCGACTGACATGCGTGGAATACCGGGCGCCAACGGAACCAATGACACTTTTAGGTTTATTTGCGTTCATTCTTACCTAGTAGAACATGGAAATACTTGGCTGTAGCCTTCACAATGGTGGAGCCCTCGACGAAGACGTTTTAAAAGCCTTTGTAGAAAATAGTAATGTCTCATATTTTCATATTTGATTAGATAATTAACTCGAAATAAACATAGTTCAGGTCGTTAGCGCGTTCAACTTTGAATTTCGCGACACGAGTTTAATTTTCGATAAAAGCAACTTTTTTTAATTTTTAATTAATCTATCATTAATTTTAAGTACATTTTATTTATTATAATTTAACCTCTATAATTAGGTAATCCGTTATAATATGATGGTGGGTGGGGTTTTCCTCACCTGCAAGTCAAATGGCACCATCAATCATCTTTAAGTCGCCCCAGAGCGCCACGGCAAATAATAATAGCCGTCACTTTCCCCGGACAAGCTCAGCTTTTGGGGGCGAATTAGGGAAAGTATTATTACTCGTATCATAATAATCTTTCAGCAATTTTTTTTCTACTATTCTGAATCGTTAATAAAATGTATTTAAAATAAATAAACAGCAATAGTCGTTGTTCTTCATTTTTCATATTTTTCCCAAAAATAAAAAAAAGTTTCTTGAATTCAGGTCTCGTTATCCAAAATTAAGAGCGCTAACGAACTGGGTCATGAAGACTTGTCAAGTTAATTATCTAATCAAATATATCGCATTGGCATAACTATTAAAATCATATTTATCAGGAAGGAATTTCAGAATTAAACATATGAAGAAGCCTTATCCGACCTAAGAGAAATCAAGGCAGAAGTACCTCAAGGTACTGTACCAGGTCCAGTTCTCTACTTGTTGTATAGCAGAGATATTCCTAATCTTCAGCCCAATAATGTCGCAACTTTTGATGATGATACTGCAATCCTTGCTAATTAGGCATTCCAAAGACTTGTCAAAAAATTGCTGCCGGTTGGAAGGGCTCGAATATCTAAAGATCGTTGCGATATAGCCTTGAATCTCAGACACTACTTTTATTCGAAATAGTAGTCGCCAAGCCTGCCAATTTATGAGAAATGTATAAGCAGTTTTGTTTAAATAAGATTTCCATTGTGTCAGACATAAAATATTTAAATTTACTTCATTATACACGATTTCACGTATTATTAGCTCAGTGCAAAGTCATGGTAGGGGAAGCAAAAGCGATACTAGCGCTAGCTGCATTTTAGGGCGATATTTTGTAATTAAATTACACGTATACATTTTACTTTTTACAAAAAAATAGGTAAAAACAATACAATAAGCAAACGGAGTTGCTGTGTTGAAAATTGTAAAAATACTATCAAAAAATATAAATGGATAGCTGTACAATAAGAAGAAAAATTCCCTTTATTTTCGTAATAATAACAGTAATACTGGAAATAGCAGTAGCCATCAGAAACTTGAAAGGTTTTAAATAAACAATAAATTATCATTTTATGATGTTCTTCAACATCTCTTTAATCTTATTTGGCAAGAACTAGATTTCTGCCTTTGATTAATTTTGTGACTTACTGATAGGAAACCAGTTTTAATCATTTATTCTATGTTTTCTTTCGAACAAAAATGAAAATATAAATAATCCTTCTGTTTGTTCATTTTAACTTCATGGTATTTTTATTATTTTGACAGAAAAGGTTAATTCTTTAAAGACAACTTATTAGACTTGGGCAACTTCTCATACATTTTCCAGTAAATACTGTTGCCTGCCTATATTTTATTATTGATTTTTATTCGTTATACTTGTTTGTTTTTTAGTTTAAGCGATAAAAGTACATAATAATAAATTAATGTTTCACTTGTTTTACAAATCCATATACTTTTATTAAAACTAACATTATGTACTTTTTAATAACGAATTCTATTGTTAGTATACGCAAAAATAGTCCATTAATACATAAGTGGATTGGCGCTGCTGTCACGCACGGAGCGAATAAATAGAATACATCGTATATCGCAACTCCTTAGATATACCTACTCTTCCCATCGACAGCCATTTTGTTTGGAATGCCTAATTGTCTCACACTAACATGGCATATTGTCAAAAGAGATTGCAACAAAAATTATTTGCATCTCTTCTCACAGTTGTATTACATTTTACAATTAATTTTTATATAGGGTTATTTCTGAAACAAGAATGGTCTAAATTTTTTTTACATATATTACTAAAATTATTTAGATTTATCAATATTTTTTGTCTTTATAGGCGTTACAACACAAAAAATGTTTTTTAAAATATCTAGCATAGCTCATGTAAGTAAAAATTAAGGATCTATTTGGTACTTATTCAAAAATCTGAAATTTGATTATAAACACATTTGGACTAGACCGATTCTGATCGTGAGCACTTCGCGAGGTAATATGGCCAGGCGCAGTGCCACCCTGTTTTCGTAGTCTTATACAATATGTTAACTTTCCAACAGAAAAACCTCGAGGAGAACAGTATAAAATAAGTGATGCTATTTATTAGACAGAGGTAGAAGAGTGCGCGTCAGCTCACTAGGGAAAGAGGTGTATCCATCGGTCCAATCACGGTAGGTAGTCAGTCGATTTACGAGAGCCTTTCCTTATTTCTCTCAGGTGCAAACATAATTAAGCGTCTCATTTTTATTTCAAAGGATCCATGGGTTAACGAAGTGTAAATGGGAGAGCAATCTATATAACTATATTATACATCACAGAGCTGGGGAGGATTCGAATCACATAGGATTCGAATCCTTTTTGAGGATCCGAGAGCAGCATTCGAATACTTATGAAAAAAAGGATCCATGGTCCGTATTCGAGAAATTTGACAAAATGTAAAAAAAAATAATTTTTTATAAAAATTGTTTAAATAAAAGTTGTTTGTAATATAATCTGTAACTTTTATTCTATAATAATAATAATAATAATAATAATGTTTATTCAAAAAAAAGAAATATAAATTACAATTACATAGTTAATTTAAATATAAACATTGGTAACTTGCTGAGGCATTGTAATGCCTGTGTGCGAGCTAGGATATTTAAAAAAATTTTTTTTTTTAAACACAAATAAAATTCGATATAGAATAATAAATAAATAGATAAATTCATGATAAACAAATAATGAAACAAGTAACAAAGCATATAACATAAAACAAGTAATAAAACAAATAATAGAACATAATAAGCAAACAGTAGAACAAATAGTAACAGGGAGATAAAATATAGACATATTCGATATTTAATTCATAATGAAATATAGTTATTAAGTATTATTTTTTTTTTATTTTTAAAGTGGAAAATTTATTAATTATAAATTATTTTAGATATCTTAAATCAATTAGGCTATTAAAAATATATCTGTTATTACTTGCTATCCAATTTTTTATAGCATATTTATAACACGAAAGTTTATTAATATCCTTAATGTAATCTGGTAACATATTGGATAATCTTGGAGCAAAATAATTGGTACAGCGTTGACCAACAGTCTTTGAAGTTATTGGAAGGTAAGTGCATTTACCTCTAGTAGGGTAATTATGTTGAGGAGAAGTTACTTGGATTTTTCTTTTAAAAATGTTTAAAAGAATGTTTTGGCAGTATAGCTGTCTCATATCAAAAAATGTACTTTCACTGAATAATGCGTCACTCGGATAAGTTACAGGTTTTTTAAATATAAGCTTGATTAGCCATTTTTGTATATTTTTTAACTGCTTTAAATGGCAGTCTGCCACACCACCCCACCCAATAATACCATAAGTAAGATGCGATTGTACCAGAGACAAATATAAAGTTTTCAGCTGATCTTCATTTAAAAAGTCGCGTAAGTACTTAAATTTATGTAGCAAACCTCTAAGTTTATGAGTAATATTTTTAATTTGTAGATCCCATTTCAAATGCCTATCTAAAGTAATACCTAGGTACTTAATTGACGATGCTTCAGGTATTTGAGTTTTGTCATCTATATGTATTGGACCAAAACTCGGCAAATTGTTTACATAAGAGGTAAATGGTAAATATTTCGTTTTTTCGGTATTTAATGTTAGTTTATTGAGTTGAAACCATTTTTTAACTGCTTTAAAATCATCTTGAATTTCTGTTTTTAGCGTGTGCCAGATCTTTGAGCTATAAGTTATGACAGTATCATCGGCGAAACTGATTATTTCTCCATTTGTATGTAATGTCATCAAGCTATTTATATATAGAGTGAATAGAAGAGGCCCCAGTACAGTCCCTTGCGGAACGCCGTAGGTAATTGTTTTTGGATCACTGAATACTCCATTGATGTTCACGTACTGCGTTCTATTTTTTAAATAACTTTCTAAAATATTATATATTTTTCCACGCAATCCATAACATTTAATTTTTTCTAGTAAACGCGTGTGACATACCGTATCAAACGCTTTTGATAGGTCAACAAAAATGCAAATTGCAGGTGTTTTTGTATCTAAAGTATGGTATAGTTTGGAGATTAGAGCATGTATTGCATCTTCCGTCGACCTTTTTTCTCTAAACCCATACTGATTATCATTTACGACTTTGAATTTGTTTAAAAATTTTGTTATTTTCAATTTAAGGATTTTTTCATATATTTTCGAAAAAATTGACAACAATGATATAGGTCGATAATTTTGAGTCAACGTTTTGTCACCTGTTTTATAGAGCGGTTTGATAATTCCAATTTTTAGGCATTCTGGAAAGCATTCGTCATTAAAGCTTTTATTTATTAGATAGGTTAGGGGTTGTAAAATTT